AAGGAGGCAATGGAAGACTATGAGGACTTCTTGTGTAAAAAACAAGCACTTAGAACTGGCCGGACGCCCTTGTGGTAGTGCTTGGTTGAAGTCTGGCCGGTGCCGTGTGTTGTCCCTCATGCGCATTCGGGTCGAGTAGAGTCTGGGTACACCGGGTTATGGTTAATCCATGCTAGGGTGGTTTGAAAAGTTCCTCAAGGTGTTTCACTTTCATCCCAGCCCATTTCACCTACTGTGATACACCTCTTTGGTGGTAGGTCATAGGTTTGATTCCTGGTGAGTTGATCTTGGATTTCTTGTGTAAAAAACAAGACTCTGAGGACCTCAGCCTCAATTGTCTTTCCTTGTGTTTGGGGTATCATAGTTGAACTTCCTGGCCCTTGGTAATTCAAAGTTATTCTTCTTATTTCCTTCCTCAGGAGTTGAACTCAGGTCAGCTTATCAATGGTTCAGTTGTGTACCATTCAGCCACAATCCCTTGGTGCCTCAACTTTGATCATGAAGAAAATGAAAGGAATTTTTATTTGATGTTTCTAAAGGAGTGACGGCCTTTAGATATCATCAATGAACTGTCGGGCCCCAAGAGCATTAGCAAAGCTAGGATAGAGAATAGTTTGTGATCCCATGGTCAGTGTTTTGCGCGTATTATCTAAAAAAAGAAAGAGATCTTAGTTCCCCTCCTTCTCACCTTAAACCAGCAGTACTTAGAGGCTTCCTTTTGCTGAAGCCGATTCCCCTCGGTGGGCCAGAAAAAACGAAGCAACACTTTTTTTTTTTTGAATGGTACCACCTCTGGTAGGCAGTGCCCCGAAAGTCACAGCACGTGCGTGGCTGAGTTGGAGAAAAATGGCTGGGAAAAGCACTGGCGTTTCCCGCCAACGTTTGCTCTATCCCCTGGGCCCTTGTCCCACTAGCAGGCGTTGATTGGAAAGAATAGTGCTCTGTGGCGTGCTTTGAAAATGATTAAAAAGGTACAAGAAATGCTACGAAAAGCTTCTGTACCTATTTTCAAAATCTCTGATGCAGTGTGAGTGAAATGCGCCGTGGTAAGGGGGTAGGGTGTCTATCTTTTCTACAAATATGGACAGTGTGGCAGGGTGCAATCGCCAACCAGGAGTGGGAAACGAGTTGAGGCTGGAGGGAATGGTGATTCTTGGTGTACGTCCATGCCGATCTTCAAACAGAATCACTGTTCACACGTTCAATTTTCTCTCCTACCATGGTGTAGGAGAGGAGTTTGAACGAGTGAACAGTGAAATTGCTGAAGAAAAAAGCGTCACCGATTATTGAAAAAGCTCCCAAAGGGCAGAAAAGGCCAAAAATAAAAGACGTGTGATTTTCTGTTCCTAGAAACTACGCCGCTCACGTGCATCAACCATGTTCCTGTGTCGTTTCGTGCCACACTTGGTTGAGTTCTCGTGGGGCTATTCAACCAATGCTGTTGGTGGGAGGAGCCCCTGGGCATGTGCCCAACCCCATTGAGAGGCAGGTTTGGGTACAAGCCCATGGATTAGAACATTTTCATTGTTTTCCCACTTTTGTGCGATAATCTCAATGGTAGAAGCACTCCAGTCACAAAGTGTATAGGGGCGCCATGATCAGTGCTAACAAAAGTCTCGTTCCTTTAGAAAGGTGGCAGTTACTTCTTTCACTACTGCGGCGGCATCTGCCATTGGATCATTTCTGTTTTGATGGTTGAGAAGCTCCGGTCCTTTTTACTGAGCATAAGGGGGAAGCTCTGCTCCGTTCTACTGGGCATAAGGAGTCTATGTCTTTTTGTTTTTGGTGCCTTTCTCAGGCTCTTGTTTTCTCTGCCCAAACATTGGTAATGAATTTGGTTGTGCTGTTGTCACACAACGCCGCACTGGATTGACCATACCCAGGCAATCCAGAATTATTTTATTTCATTCATTTAGGTCCATCTGGATTCAAACTCAGGTCTATCCAGCGGCCTAACTCAGTTGGTAAGGCTCACAAGTGGTATTCAGGAGGTCGTGGGTTCAATCCCCATTGGCCTCATGTACCTTCCTGGGCATGCTTGGCGCCTGCAACCTACAGATAGACCACTGGATCCCCCGATTGGCTTTCAGCAGAGTCTGCTGATGTTCGTAGGGGAGGGGACCATCACCTGAGGGGAGGCACAGGGGATTGGCCCTGTTGGCATGGTCCCTGATACTACCGGCTGTCCCCTAGCCAGTATCGCCCACCTGCAGGTGGGGAGCAGCCGCCGCATGTTCTCTCGTGAACACGGTTCTGGCTGCTACGAGGTTCTTCTTTTGCCTACAATTAGGAGTAGTGGTAGGTAGGTAGTGTGAGGTGATATTGAGAGAAGAATATTAGCTTAAAAAAAAAAAAAAAAAAAAAAAGCCACWCAGGTCTGTATTTCAACAGTTCATGGGTGTACCGACTGCACTAGGCCCTATGGTAGAAGCCCATATAGTGCAATTATAAAACTCATTTTTGTGCCTCCCGCGTAGTTCCCCTATAAATTTTGATTTACCAGTTTCTCTTTCCAAGGGATTTTATGCCGACACGGTCGGTTAACGGGGCCTGTGTACCGGAGCGAAAAGGAAAAGGATGGCGATGCCATGCACAACGGACGTATTTGGCACCCATGCTTCTCTTTTCTTTGGGGCCCCGCAGAAATCCAGGTCCGGGATAAAGTTACTCGTACAGACCGCTGTGGGGAACAGGGCCATGGTAACAAGGAGTATATATATATATATATGACGATATATATATATATATATATATATATATATATATATATATATTTGAACCAGGCACCCTCTTCCGTCGTCTTTACTGATCACTCGTCAAAACGCAGGTACGTTGCTGGCCACCAGTCAACCTCGGTCAACGCGCAGGTACGTTTCTGGCCACCAGTCAACCTCGGTCAACGCGCAGGCACGTTGCTGGCCACCAGTCAACCTCGGTCAACACCCAGGTACGTTGCTGTTCACCAGTCAGCCTCGGTCAACGCGCAGGTACGTTGCCGGCCACCAGTCAGCCTCGGTCAACGCGCAGGTACGTTGCCGGCCACCAATCAACCTCGGTCAACAGGTCTCTGAAGTCGTCAACGAATTTTTTGGCCCGTCGGAGGGCGGGGGCCTCCCTCCAAGACCAAGGGACAAAGGGAATGGGTGGGGAAGTCGAGGCGACTGCGCAGCACGTATTGGTTCCCCTCAGGGCTAACCGCGCGTTTTTCGGCCGCCCGTCGTCCTCCTCGAATGGGCGGGATTCACGGAAATGCGTGGGATCTCAACGAATTTCGGCCATATTTCCGTCCAGGTTCGGCAGACGTGGAGGCCGCGATTCGTTCTCCTCTCCGCGCCTGGCGCCTGGCGGGGTTTTCTTTCGTTGTTGGCTTTTTTTCCTTCCTTCCGCTTTTTTTTTTTTTTTTTTTCCGCGCTTTTTTTTTCCCTTCCCCGCTTTTCTTTCCGGTTCGGCTTTTCAGCGCCAAAAAGGGCCTCGCCACACCACTGTCGAAACGAGAAAAGCACGAGTGCATCGTCAGCAGAAAGCGGTCAGATGCATCCTTTACTATTCATAGTAACGGACGCATCTGGCCACTGGTTGCGGGAAAGTGCAGTCGTACTTCATTTTTCGTTTCGACAGTGGAGTGGCGAGGCCCGCCCGAAGTCATCGTTCTCTCTATCCACTGCGCGCACTTTTCTGATTCTGATCGAGCGTTGTTTCTGGCGGCGGGTTCGCTCACACTGTTTGGGATGGAACAGAGTGCGGGGAAATCCGTTTTGGTACCCTCGTTTTTCACCTTTTTTCAAGTTTTTTGCAAATTCAGTTCACAGTTCAGCTTCTTCTTTATTTATTTATTTATTTATTTTATTATTATTTTTTATTTTTTCTTTTACTTTTTCCTTTTTTTTTTCTTTTTTTTTTTCAACACAATTTTGTTCTTTTTTTTGCTTCTTCCTTATCGATCCCAGCTTTCCTCCTGCCTGTGCTGGGGCGAGGTCCCACTATCAGCGGGATAGGATAGAAACGAGTTTGTGGGGCAGTTGAGTGACCCCAATCCTGCCGTGCAGTAGTCGTGATCCCACGGTCAGTGTTTTACTTGTATTACCCGATAAAATTAGGAGATCTTCGTTCCCCTCCTCTCCTTAACACTGGGCATGCCCGTGCAAAGAAAGCTTCCCGCCAGAATCTTTTCTATCGGTTGGGGGTAAGGCCAACCCCAAAGGAGGGTGGGATCGGCCTTAGCCCACTGGATAGAAGATTTTCAGTATTTTACTTGCTGTTGCGCAATTATCTCATTGGGTGGAGCGCTCCTTCAATCACGGAGTATATGGAGGGTGTCAGGATCAGTGCGGACAGAAGTCAAGTTTATTCCAGCAAATGTGGCGGTTACTTTGTTTACTGCTGATGCAACCACCACCATCAGATCATTTGATCTAATGGCTGGGAAGCACTCTGCCGTGATTTTCGGTGGGAGGTCTTTGTTTCTTTTTTTTTTTTTTGCGTTTCTCCTGTTTTCTCAGCCCAGAAATTCGTAATGAACCTGTCGGGCCGCTGCCACTCAGTGTCACACTGGATCGGCCACACTCCTATCCGACTGCTGATGGGACCTCGCCCCTGTAGGCAACTCGCGCAATAGATACCGTTGTGTTTCCAGGGTCCTGTCGTCTCTTCCGGTACTCGATACTCACTTATATAAGGTGTCCGCCTGTCCAATGAGAATCGGCCTGGAGATGGCGTCTGTGTTGCTACAGTTGGGGTGGCGAAGTGGCGGTGTGCGACAAGTGTGCGACAGAACAGTCGAGCTAAACCCAAATGTAGGCGGGGAGAGTGTGCGGCCGTGCGAGCGGCGGGTACTAGACAATTTGTGCGGCCCCTCGGCGCGAGTTGGCGCGGCCCGGCGCGCGGCAGGGGCGCCACGGCAGCGCACCGCTCTCCCTGCGAATCGCCAACCTCGAGGCGGGGCGAGTCAAGATTGAACCTGAATGTCCGACTAGGGGGTGGTGCTTGGACGCAGGGAGATATCGAGGAGGGGAGAGTTGGAGAGAGAGAGAGGGAGGGGGTCGGGAGATCGAGCAGGGAGGAGGGGTTTGAGAGATCGCGGAGGGAGGAGGAGGTTGAGAGATCCAGGAGAGAGGGGGAGAGCATCCTTTCCTTGAGGTAGTGGAGGTGCCAGTGCAACTGGAGCGGCTATGGCGTCTCAGGCGGCAGTCTCTGGGGCCCCGGTTGGGCGGGTTTCCCTGGGCTGCAGCAGGGAGAGAAGCCGCGAGGAGATGGGTGGCACTGTGCGACGACAACGAATGCACCGCTGCGCATGCTGTGGAGCCTCCTTAATTCCTGTTCAGGCATCCACAAGCTTCCTTTCCGCCGATCCAACTCGACGCCACGTGGCGCCTCTCCGACTCATTCTCGCTCCTGGTCTATCCCGACTCGGCAGTCAGTCTTTCGCCTCCTTCACCCCGCGCATAAGAGGCTCTCCTACTCTCAGTCAACAACCGGCACGTCAGACTACCACAGTCCGAGCCAACGTCACGGTATGTCTCCTCTCCTATCTTTCTCTCTCTCTCTCTCTCTCTCTCTCTCTCTCTCTCTCTCTCTCTCTCTCTCTCTCTCTCTCTCTCTCTCTCTCTCTCTCGCTGTATCTCTCTCTGTATCTCTTTGTGCCTCTTCCCCCCTTTCCCCCCCTTGTCCGAACGCAGACACATGCTCGCAGAGTTATAAACAGGGGGAGTTGTAAGGAAGAAGATTGAAAAATGTTTTTTTTTCCTTCTTTTTTTCGTTTTTGCGCTCTGATAACTTTGTGACGATATATACATATATATAGTGAGCATGGCAGCGCGTCCACACACACACACACACACACACACACACAAGCAGAGGTGACTCTCTCTCTCTCTCTCTCTCTCTCTCTCTCTCTGACAAACACACACA